AAGACGATATCTGTGTTAGATCTTGTTTAATTTCAACTGCTTCAGATTTTGATATCTCCTCATTAAGATCAGTAACATTTTGACCCAGGGCTGTAATTTTAAGATTCACCTTTGCTAAATTATCCTTCAGACATTAATTCTGCATCACAATTAACTTAAGCGTATCAGCAATAGAACTCTCTGAAGCCATTTCTCTTCTCTTCTTTTCTCCATTCTTTATGGGTTTTGCTGCTGCAAATTTCCTGCATGTTGGAGGGGGAGAAGTAGAGGTGGCCGCGGTTTGATCTTTGCCATCTTTAAAAAAAAATTTGTCTTGGATGACATCCATCACTTTAACACCGACAGGTAGGAGATAAGGAACCTCTTAACTGGCCAAAAATCACCCAGGCAGGCTACTAATTAAGCATTGTTACAATAAGACTTCCATATGTCTGGGATTCATCCGTCAGAAGTAGCGTCCAGGCAGAATTTTCAAAAATTGGTAAAAATGTCTGTGAAAACATATGGAAAACCATGGCAACCCATGTCAGAACTGTTGGGTTTTTTTTGGTGAATTTCCTTAAAAATACTTCAAAAACGTCTTTTGTTTTTTGGAGATTTTGTCAAAAAAAGCTCATCAACTTTGCCCCCCCCCCCATGCAAAGTTCAACAACTTTTGTGTCCGGATTTTCACTTTTTAAAATATGGCAACCCTACGAGTGCTGAGCTGAAGAGTAATAAAGGGAGCAATTGGTTGATGCTGTGGTAGAAAGATGAGATAATGCATGTTGTACCTGGATGTCTCTTCCCAGGTAGATGTATTGGCTGTTTACTTGCGTCTCTTGGGCTCAGCAGCCTTTGCCAGAACTTTCTCTGCATCTTTCACAGCGTTTTCCAGGAAATTCTTCAGCAAGTAGAATGTGGTAGCAAAAGAACTGCCCCCACCATAGAGAGACCCCAACACAGGTATGAAATCCAGAACCAGCTCTACCACTGTGATTGCTCCCCACATTGCTGACCTCTTCAAGATATCCATGACAAATTCTGTTGTGATCATACCGGTGCTTGGGGTATGTTCAATAACAGATTTCAACTCCTCAACAGGTTTCCCCACACGTTTTGCTAGTATATTGAGGGAATTTTCATCCAAGCCAAAAACTTTGCAGATATGTATCATTGTTGAAACCAGAATGCCAATGTCACAACTAAGCGAGAGGAATGGGAGAGGAATCAACCCAACAGAGCAACTCACCATGGCATTTTTCCATATCAGGCTTTCCATAGCAGCCTTTTTCTTTTTAATGCTATCTTTTGTTAAAATCGGAAGACACATAGTTAAAACATCTCTCTTGATTTCATCCTGTTCCTTTTCAATGGTCTCTTGAAGGAGGGGGAAATCATACTTGCTCAAATCCCACCTTGATATCAGAAAGACCCTTGGAGAAGACTCACCTAATGCCTTCAAATTATCATAGCTATCTTTCCGTATAATGTCAAGAGCTTCCTTCTCAGCCTGCATCTTCTCATGGGTGTCGTCCACATCGATGCCTTGTGACCGCCTGTAGTTATCTATATCGACATCCACTTTGCTGCGCACATAGTAGAATTTCTTCTTCTTCTTATGGATCTCAAGAGCCAATTTGGTGTCATCCTCAGTGAAGCGCCCTGAGGCAATGATGATGAAAAAATCATACTTGCTGAAATTGACCTTCTTTAGGTATTCCTTTGCACTAAATTTAGTTGTTCCAATTCCTGGTAGATCCCAAATTTTGACTTTGGGGAATGTGGGGTGTGAATATTCTTGTGGCACCATTGTTGTTTCTTTTACCCCAGGCAGAGCTGCACCCTCTCCACGATCTTCCATTCCCCGCAGGGCATTGACAAAAGATGATTTCCCGGCACCAGATCTTCCTGTGATGGCAATTTCCAACGTGATGTTATTTAATAAATTTGACTGCTCTTTAGCTTCAGCTGAAACAGCTTCTAATGTTTTTTTCTCCAAAGCAGTCTTCACTTCAGCAAGGTCTTTTTTTATGGCTTCTATTTTTACGGCAGGATCCATGACAGGGATTTCTCGTGGCTCAGTTTATCTGAGAAAGAGAAGAAAACTCTAATAGTTAGATTATAACTTTCCACACACTTTTATGGACATCTTTACAATCCGTGGTTTATGTGGTAAAATCAATTTACTTAGGGCATGTCTCTGAGACCAGTGGGTTGTTTGAGGGTCAGTTGGTAGTATTTCAATCAATCTCTCAGAAATCTATATGTGCATGAGTTCACACATAACCCTTAAAACATGCTTATGTGAGATGTGGAACTTTTTTGAACTCAAATTGTTCATTCCTCTAGAGTAGGCATGGTCAAACTTGGCCCTCCAGCTCTTTTGGGACTACAACTCCCAGCATCCCTGACCACTAGTCCTGTTAGCCTGGGATGATGGGAGTTGTAGTCCCAAAACATCTGGAGGGCAGAGTTTGGCCATGCCTGCTCTAGAGATTTGACTAAAGGGAGCATTTACACACACACTAAAGATTCCTCTTTTTTTGCTAAAACTTTGGATAAAACACTTCATAAATAAATTGGATTCTTGTCAACTAACTTTTATTCAGCGATGACTCAATGAAATTAATAACCATGCCTAAGGTCCATTAATTTTAATAGATTTACTCTGAGTAAATGTTAGTTGAAGACAACCCATTATCAGCAACATTATCTTGTCCTGAAAGCTATATAAATATAATGAATAAATAAAGGAAATACAGCTAAAGGAAAAAAGAGCATAAAATCCTGTTTAGAATTAAAGACATCCGAGGACCTAACTGCATGATACTTAAGTGTGGCGTGTTATCAGTGGAGTTTTGTTTGTTCGTCTGTCTGTCTGTCTGTCTTAATTGATATGGGGAGGCGATTTTGCAGCAGGACTAAGGTGCATGGAGAAGTGAAGTTTCATATTTCGTACCACAGTCATAGAAGGATACGGAAAGCCCCAAAAGGGCGACTTGGGAAAGTCATAGAATCGTAGCACTGTAGAGTTGGAAGGGACCCTGAGGGTCATCTAGTCCAACCCCCTGCAATGCAGGAATATGCAGCTGGTCCATACAGGGACCTATAACCTTGGAGTTATCAGCACCATGGTCTAACCCACTGAGCTATCCAGGCTCATCAGGCAGCACCAACCCAGAACCGAGAGAACCTCCAGCATCTTGAACTTCCAGCCCTGCCTTGAATCCTTGCCATGCAGTTTCTCTAATCAGAAGTAGCTCACAGATACCATTTTTGCACGTCAGCAAGTGCTGGGGCACAGCTGTGTTCCTGCTGCTTTCTTTCAGGAAAAGTACCCATGGGGGGGGGGGGGGCTCTGCAGAGGGATATATTGAATTAACATGCGAAAGTGAGACGAGTTGCATTGGCTTCAGGGCAGTTACTTAAAACTCTAAAAGTAGCACTAGCTACTTGTGGCATGTTATTTACCGTATTCCCTTTGCCGCGGGAAAGAAGGGCAGCCTTCTAGAACCTCATTGTTGGTAATAATATAATTGTTTACGATACGATATGATCAGTGCTTTTTTCTGGGGGGACGCAGGGGTACACGTACCCCTAAACATTTTGTTGTTACCACCTCCGATGGCGGCTTCCTTTCTTTCCCAGAAAGGAATCAGGAAGACGTTAGTGCACACAACCTCATGCCAATGTGGAAGTTACTGTGAGCTGCGTAATATGAGGTAATGCATGTTCTTTGCACTTTTGTCCATTTATTGTATTTATTTTTCCCAATTTGAACTATAAAAAGGTGGTTTTGGATGGTCAAATGAGAATACCCCTAAACATTTTTAAAGGAAAAAGCCACTGGATATAATATAATATGATAATATAATATCACAATAGCTATAATATAATTAATGTAATAACAATAAAAAGGGAAAAAAGGTAAAAGGTAAAAATAAAAAAGTAAAAGGTAAAAAAACCCCCAGCAACAACAATTGTTCTGCCAAGCAAGAAGCTCAGAGTCTCCTTTAATGCAAACAAACTCAAAAAGAAACGGAAATCATGAGAAAAGTTCAACTCCTTACCTGCTGCTGAACCGATTTTTTGCAGCCAAGCCCAGCCGTCTTCTTGGAGGTTTTGCTTCGAGGTTTCTCGCGCTTTTCTCCCACCTTCTCTCATTGTGTGCCTCTCTTTTATACCCTCTCCCTCCTGATCGTCACACTACTAAAAGCAAAAAAGAAAGCGAAGGTAACCAGCGAGGATGAGATAAGATCGCAACAAATAGCCGAAGCCGCATTCCTGGCCAGAGTCCAAGCAGCCCGTTTGCCAGCGGGGACGCTGCCTTTTCTGGGAAGTCCCAAAGGATCACCTGTGCAAGCATCCCATGGAAGTATTCCTTCACCTCTGCTGCTGTTCTTTCTGTACCAGTCTCAGCAGCACCTGAGTTGTCTGCACTTAAGCCGCCTGGCATTGATGAAGGAGGACTACCCAGAGCCTGGGCTTCCTGCTACTGCAGTGTAGAATATTTGCAAAGGAGTTACAAATTTCCCAGTTTTTTTAACCTGCTAGTTAATCAGGTGCATTCATTTCAGCTGGTGTGCTCTGAGCATGAGTAATGTTGGATAAAATCCATAGGCTGTGGTGTAAATGGCAAGCTGGGGGAGCAGAGCAGCGCTATGAGGAGAATTCGGCTGATCAGGACACGTGGCGTCCATGGTTGCACAACCAGACATGCATCTGCCGTACATCAGATGCGCACTGGGCACAGACTTATTAATATAAGAATGCAATGACAACAAGGTTCTGCCTCCTGTCTGAAGTGTGTCAAGTTCTTTCTTCCAACCCTATCCTGTTATTTGCATCAAAATAGACCGGGTGGGGGGTAATGAAAGGATTGCATTAGCATGTGCAGAGAAACACTGTTCTGCTTAGGGAGCCCTTTCAACACTAACTTGTCTCCTGAGGGCCTCCTGCACATCATTTGTCACGTGACCCATTTGCCTTGCAGAAAATTCTGAGAATGGAAAATCATCATGGAAAGGTCTTACCCAAATACCTTCAATGAAGAGGAAGTCCTTGAAAAGATGAGGAATGACTTCAAGAAGCAGCTTGAGAAGTGGTTCAGGAACACCTTCCCTCAAGTCTTTTTGATCTCCTCCTGGGACCTTCGCAAGTATGATTTCCCCCAACTGGTGGAGACATTGGAGAAAGCTCTGCCCTGCCTGAAGAGACTTGCATTCCTGCTCAGCCTTCCCAACTTTTCATCTGAGGTCATAGAAAAGAAGAAATCTGCGCTGAAGAGCCACCTGTGGAAAATATCTCTGGCATCTGCTGGCATCAATGAGATTCCCATTCCGGGCCTTCCTCTGGCTTCTGATGTTGCCCTCTTGTGTGGGTCCATGGTTGCCTTCTACAAGAGATTTGAGCTGGATGATGACTCCTTTGCTAGGCTGGCCAAATTGGCCAGGAAGCCTGTTGAAGAACTGAAGGCTGTGATTAAGTCTCCTCAGAGGAAAGAAATTACCAGGGATCTGGTTATAAAGAAAATAACCGATTATGCAAAAAGAATTATTCCCGCCTTCGCTAGTTAGAAGCTTGGTAGCAGCAGGGGTGTCTTTTGCCACCACTTACTGGATGCTGTCAAGCTTCGTCGATAATCTAGCTGTGGATGCTGAAAGGGTTCGAAAGAAAGCCCTAGGACTGGAAGAGTGTGAGGCAGAGCATCTCAGGGCCACATAGAACTGGCATAAGACATGATGCAACCCAAGGTGGGGTAATAGGAGCTGCTGCTGCTGCTGCTGCTGCTGCTATGGCAAGTCTTCCCACTTTGGCACCCCTTTTCATACCCATTTTGGCTGGTTCTAGAGACAATGGAGACAAATTGTTTTAAAACATAGTTAAAAGTTCAAGATTAATAAACTAAGGACTTGCAACTACTTTGAACTTTTTATTATCATATTCTTTTAGACAACAACAAAATACCCCAAACGGTTGAAATAGGTCTTAATGGCATTTGATATCCTTACTACCTGCCTCGCACCCCAGCAGTCTCCTTGCCTGAGCCAAAAGAGCTTCTCGGGGGTGGTGGGGTTGAGGAGTCATTGACTGCTGGTTTGGGGGGACTTCAGCATCCATGCCAAGGTGACCAGCTCTGGGGTGGCTTAGGACCTCATAGCTGCCGTGACAACCATGGGGATGTCCCAACATGTCAACAGCCCAACCCATGTGGCAAGCTGCTCTCTGGACCTTTTTTTCTCAACTGGGCAAGAAGAGCGTGATCTTTCCCCCTCTGCAGAGGTGGGGGACCTAATAGGATGGTCGGCCCTCAGAGATGGCTCTGGGGGATTTCCCATCATGCCTTAGTACCCAATCAGATACGTGATAGGTACGTTGGGTTCAGCTTAGGTCATTTATGTTATCATCTGGCACTCCTCAATTCTGGACCTTGTTTTCTCAACTGGGCAAGAAGAGCGTGATCTGAAAGTGGGGCATAGCGACATCAGTCCCTTGTCATGGTCAGATCACTTCCTGTTGAGATTTAGGCTTTCAGCACCTTTTCCCCTCTGCAGAGCTGGGGGACCTAATAGGATGGTCCGCTCTCAGAGATGGCTCTGGGGGACTTCCCATTCTGCCTTAGTACCAAAATAGACACGCGATAGGTACGTTGGGTTCAGCTTAGGGCGACCTCATTTAAGTTTCGTTTTCTCAGAAATCACCTGTTTGAGAAGATGTGTGCTGGTCAAGCGGGGGTGTAATTTATGCTCCAAGATAACAAAAAGCCACGACTACTTTCCCTTTCCAAGATTAAGTGGGGTAAATAAGTAATCAGCAAGAGAGCATTTATTGCTCTGTTGCTGAGCAATACATGATTGCACCGGTTTATTATTTTTTTGATCATATCTCAGAGTCCCAAAGATGCATAGTGATAGCAGCATTCTGCCATAGGGAATTTTATTAGCGTCAGTCATTTCTAAACTCTTATCGCAGTACAGTGTGTCAAAAGATTTCAGATTAAAATTTCCACTGCTGGCACTGAGAGCGGGGGACAAGAAATTCCCGCTGCAGACACTTCTCAGTTGGCTTTGCAGCTACAGCTGCTACCTGCCTGTCCGGTCTGCAAGGAGAGGGAGTTAGAGGGTGGGGGTGGCGAAGAGCTCCAGCTCCCAAAGCTACACGAAGGTGGAGGACCATCTGGGGGAAGGGAAGGTGAGTCTCTCTGCGTGAGGCTGCAGAAACCCTTGAAGGAACCCGTGCCTGGTGCCCCCCTGTATTATGTCCCCTAGGGCTGAGGGTGTCAGATAAGACACAGGTTTTGCTGTCAGTCTAGGATCACTCTGAGGAGAGTTTGGTGTCCTTCCTGCCTGCCTGATTTGCAAAGCCAGCATGTCGTGCAGGCTCTAAAGCCGCTCTGCACCCTGCAGAATGTTATAACTTTTCTAAAAAATAAACTATTTCTTCCTCATGTTCAATCTTGTAATTTGAATCTTGTAATAGTTCCGGCCCTACCCTCCAGAGCAGAAGAAAACAAGCTTATTCCTTCTTCTGTGTGACAAGCCTTCAGATATTTGAAGATGGCTATCGTATCTCTTCTCAATCTCCTCTTTTCCAGGATACACATACCCAGCTCCTTCAACTGTTCCTCATAAGGCTTGGTTCCCAGAGCTTTGATCATCTTGGTCGCCCTCCTCTGAGAATGGAAAGGCATCCTAAGGCATGTTATATGGGTTCACATGCTCAGACCTTTCAGGTTTCACTGTCAGGGTCCATAGGCTGGGAATGTGCATAAACTCACAGATAGGCTGTGCCTTGTTGTATCTGTGTACTGAAGATCAGAAGTGATGACCGTGTATCACCGGTTTTGATCTTGAAATGACAGACATACTTCTGATGGGAGACCCCTGAAATAAATAAATTAAGGTCTTATGTATATAATAAAGGTTCATAAATGTACGAGGCAAACACGTACATAGATATATAGGCCACATGTCTGAAGCTGCACAGGAGAGCAGCCATGGAGCCATTTTGACTCCCAGGCTGACCAGGGGTTTTCTCAGCAAGGTCAAATGGAGGAGCCTCCCCATTGTCTTTTCCTTCACAAATCCTGTCCTAAGGGTATGTCGGTGTATGAACAGGCTAAGCCTGTGACTTGGCTCAGGAACTAAGTACTTATCATTACAAAAGACTGGCCAGGCTGCCCAGGGTATCAATCCAGTAAACATTAACAGGTAACTTGCCAGACAGTAGGTAAACAACCCACTCAGATTTCTGCCTTAGCCCACCCCTTCTGTGATGTAGGTATGATGTTTCTGGGGGTGGTCTTTGACTCCAAGGTGGGCAATTGAAAATGTCTATATAAGGGCAGACACACCTTGATTCTGGGTCCTCCTCTTTTCCTGTGTGTGATAAAGATCAGGCTTAAAAGCTGCTTTGCTTCTCAATATTCTCTGGTTGGCCTCTGTTTCTTCCTCCGGCCGATGGAGAACCTACAAAGGACTCTATGAGGGCTCTTGTGTCTCCCATAAGGCAATAAGGGCAGATTTTCATTTATTACACCCCAAACAGAGACTGAAAACCCCCACGTAGTTTAAAATCACCAAGGTACTTTGAGCTTATCTCTGACAAAAGCCTAATAAAGTGGTACAGGCACATATTTCTTACTAAATGCTCTGCTGCTGATTATTTGCAACTTTTTATCCTGCATAACCTTGAAAGGGGAAAGTAGCTTTGGGTTTTTATTATATTGTAGCAGAAATTACATGCTGTTTACAAGTTTTCCTCTCCCCCTCCCTTGCCCAGCACATAGTTCTGCTTTCTGAGAAAACAAAAGCTAAATGGAGTCGCTATAGGTTCTCCTTCTTGTAAATCATTTCTTGGACTGTGCTGGGTCATGACAGAGAGCAAAAGCTAGCAGTGTGAGGCTCACACTTCATCAAAACTCAGGAGGAATATGATGATATGATACAAAGACTTTAAACAAATGACATAATTTATAAATAAAAGCACCACTGACTCAACAGATTTCTTTCATCGCTTCCATTCCTGTTCATCTAGAATTGACCTCTTCTGCATTCATCTTCCACACCCATTTTTAAAATTATATTACAGTGGTACCTCGGGTTAAGAACTTAATTCGTTCTGGAGGTCTGTTCTTAACCTGAAACTGTTCTTAACCTGAAGCACCACTTCAGCTAATGGGGCTTCCTGCTGCCACTGCACCGCCGCTGCACAATTTCTGTTCTCATCCTGAAGCAAAGTTCTTAATCCAAGGTAATATTTCTGGGTTAGCGGAGCCTGTAACACGAAGCGTCTGTAACCTGAAGCGTATGTAACCGAGGTACCACTGTATTAATGCTAATACTCCAGAGGGAGTCCGTTCCACTGTCAAAGAGCTCTCGCTCTCAGAAAGTTCTTCCTTGTGTTTAGTCAGAATCTCTTTCCTTGTAGCTTGAAGCTGTTTGTCCAGGTCTGACCATCTGGAGCCGGAGAAAGCAAACTTGCACCGCCCTCCATATGGCAGCCCTAGAGATATCTGAAGATGGCTATCATATCTCAGAGTCCAAAAGTCCCATGGTGATAGGTGAATTCTGCCACTGGGAGTTTTACTAGTGGAAACAGTTTCTGAACTCTTATCGCAATACACTGTGTCTAAAAGTTCAGATTAAAATTGCCACTACTGGCACTGTGGGCTGGATAGGAAAAGATCCTGCTGCAGCTGCTTCTCAGCTGGCTTTGCAGATCCAGCTGCTTCCTGCCTGCCCGGTCTGCAGGGGGTGGGGAAGGGCAACAGCTCCCCCGGCTGCAGGAAGCTGGAGGACAAGCTGGGGGAATGGAAGGCGAGCCTCTCTGCGTATGGCTGTAGAAACCCTGGAGTGTAGCAACGCCATGATCCCTTGCATCATCTCCTTCTCAGGTTGAGGATGGCGGATGAGACAAAGGCTTTGCTGTCCATTTGGAACACTCTGTGGGGAGTTTGGTGTCCTGCCTGCCTGCCCGGTCTGCAAAGCCAGCTTCTTGCTCTAACGTCGCTCTGCACCCTGCAGAATGTTAGAACTTTTCTAAGACGTCCTAAACCCCCACAGCTTTAAAGCCCTTCCACTTTATGCAGCCTATCAATGTAACAATGCAAAAGTCGACAAGGAAGCCATCAAGGAATAATATTTATATTCTGCCTTTCAGCTCTAAAAGGAGCCCCACCTAATTGATTCTGACTGTTTCTTTCTTTGCTCACTTTCCCATATTTCAACCATTCCTGCTATGTATTCAGCAGTGAACGGTTGCTTGAAAGGACAACAATCAAATATACAGTGAGTGGAACCTTGGTTCTTGAACTTCATCCATTCCGGGTGTGTGTTCGATTCCCGAAACCATTCAAAATCAAGGCGTTGCATCCGATTGGCTGCAGGAGCCTCCTACACTCAAGCAGAAGCCATGTCGGACGTTCAACTTCTGAAAAACGTTCGCAAGCCGGAACACTTACTTCCGGGTTTGCAGAGTTCCGGAGCTGATTTGTTCAACAACTATGCAGTTCGGGAACCAAGGTACCCCTGTATATCAGAGTTTCTCTCTCCAGGAGAAACCCTCACCAGGACAG